TGAAAAGAGATGAAAGTTTACCTCTTTTTTTAACATCCAGCCGACCACCCCCAGGTTGGTCACAGCATAGATTTATAATTCTTTTTAAATACACAGCTATATTCCACTTCAACTAAAACATAATTCACCAGGTCAAATGAGGGAGTCACTTGCAAGATTTGCCTCAGTGAAAGATAAAAGGAATTTTATTACTTACTAACCTGCCAAAAAAGTGACATCAAACACACACAAAAACAGGTATTAAATTTAAAAAAGTGTCCAGTACAAAAGTGAAGATCAAGAACAGGCAGCTTTTTTTTATAAAAAATTCCTTGAGTCCTTAACATTTTATGTTTAACCTACAACCACGATCGTTTATCTGATATACTTATCCTCAGCAGTGGCGAAATTTGTAGATATCCTTCAGTTCTTGGTAAATGTGCTTTATCACCTAACATCGTCTTCCAAGAAGCCGAGAAGGACAGGGAGACAGAACAATCTTTTTAGTTCTGCTAATCAAAATCTATATTGATCTCCCTCTGCCCTGAAAGTTGGGACCTGAAGTATATATACTGTGTATGCCTATGTCTAGCTTCGTTGAATGTTTCCAAGCTACGTAATTCACTGGTAACTTTCATCCCAACACGTGAAACCTCCAAACAGGTGTGAATTAAACAGGAGATGCAGCTCTGAATTACAATGACTTTTTATCACAATATTAATTCCAGTTCAAATTAATTATTTATTCTTGCTTTCATCACCTTGGTTCAACCTGGTCAAATGGACACTACTTCCTGAAAATCGTTTTGGTCCATGAAACATTATATTTTAAAACCAGATGATGGAGGTCAAAAATCAAGTAATTTCATAACACCATCATAACATACCCTCCTCTTAATCCAATCTGTGCGTCCCAATCTTAATTTCATTTCCTACACGATAGTTTGAATCTAATTTACTTAACACCCTTTTCTGTTTGTAGATTGTACCTCGGAGTCTAATTGGTCAAGAAGCTTCCCTACTATTTGGCCTGGACACCAAATTCAAATGTCTCCATTAACAAGCCTGGCACAAGTCTGTGCAACTTTGTGGGAGGTGAAGAGCAAAACCCATTAATTCACCACTCTCAGGAAAATCCAATCCATCATCGTCTATTTAGTTCTAAAATTGTTGCCTTACATTTCCAGAATTAAAAATGGTTATCAACCAGATTATATCTCCAATTAGGAATTTAATGCTTCACATCTTTGTTTTCTGCAGAAAAAGATCCAAAATGCGTAGATAAACATAGTATGCTGCACAAGAATATCTAATAATGATCTTCAAACATGGTGGCTTTGTAGAGCTGTCATATTTTGCTGGTACAACAGCCATTACATTTCATGTCAATGATAGAATTTTTTTTTTGAATGGGTATGCCCCTTTGTGATTTGAAAAGGTAGTTGTTCTGTGACCAAAATTACAATGGACCTCACCTCACCCTGTTAATAGGAAGTGTGTAAAATAACTGGTGACCATTCTCCTCTTTCCTAAGTGATCTACTTTCACTATTTGAATCTCACAACATGCAGCAAATATTTGGACATCTTCTAGGGATTACAGGACCTCTCTGACATACCCAAACATCAATTTACCTGTTTAAACCGCCAACTATATAATCCAACAAAATTTAGGTGTGAGTACGATCTTTATTTGTGCACCATCTGTTTGGACGTTTCATATTAGGCCCAGTTATAACCAAGGATGCAGTAAATATCCTCAATCCCACTGCAACCAGCCAGATATGATATTTATATTCATTCCTATAGTATGACAATGGTGGCCTGATATAAATTATGCTAGCTTTAAGGCTATTTTAACACAATTTTCTGTTCCAACACAGAAACACCACAACAAACATTTTTTTTCCCTATTTGCGTGTGCTATGAACTTGTTGCCGAAAGGCCCTGACAGCCATTTGTGAACCAATGAAATTTTGCAGGTTTAGAAAATCTTCCACCTAGTAAAAGCTGTCTACCTTCTTGTGTCACAGCCTCCTTTGCATAAAGGAATTGATGATTTGTTCTTAGAAAACAAGTTGTACAGTTGCCTTATGGTTTAATGGGCTAAAAAGTGGACGACTCCATCAAAGTTTGCTTTCACTGGTTTGTAAGAATCTGCGTGTTAGCGAGTTCACATGATAACCTCTATAAGATGGGAATAGAATTATTATGCTCCCTGTTAGATTCTATCTGGAAATCAGGCAGGAGATGAAATAATACAATAATACAGACTCCACAGTGTAGCATGAAATGCAACAAGTCTCCTCATCATCCCAAGTATCCTTACATATATCTGACATCTCAGCTTCTGAAAAGTGGGCGTTATGCACTAGAGTTCCAATGTCATGCACTCTCTCATCCACTTACTCCTTCCCACTGATGCCACCACTACTATTCTAATATCCAATTCACATGCTGAACAACATGGTCACTGCTGTCAGCATGCTGAAGGAAACATTATCTCAAAAGGACATCTAACAGCACTCAATAGCAAATAGCATACCAAAGATGATGCATAAACTTTGTGTTAAGTGTAACAAAAAGAAATACAAAGCTATACTGACATGCTAAGCACACAGCTTGCTCGTAAATAGCTACATTAATAATCAATAGCTAGACTATTAATTATTAATTTGTTGAGCTTGAGCAAATCAGGAGTATGATAACCATCATACATATTGACAGCTTGAAGTGTAATACATATGTACGACATGCGAGGCATTCAACTAAATAGTATACAGTATGCAAAGGGACATTGCTGTTTTGAAATAATAGAAAAGCTGAATTTTAATAGTTACCTAACATCTGAGGAAAAGAAAGAATTTCTATGTTTCTTGACCATCTTTAAAGCAATACACAGTATTTTTAAAAATTGTGTTAAAACAACTATGCGCTAACGTTAAGATAGAATAAAAGGGAAGTGCAGGCATAAGAGGAGAATCTTTATGGCTGTAATTCTAATTTTACTCTTTTCAGTGAAGCTATTAGACAGAATTCCTGTGCTCTCAATGCTTCTTGTCTCAAAAAAATGGAATCACAAACACAATCACAAAAGATCAGTCAAAACTCCAGAATATGTAATAAAAATAAAATTGGACTTCTTCCGTCACTTTAACAATTGTCCCAATAAAAATACAGCTTAAATTACATGGTATAGCACCTTTGTTATAAAAACAGCACATGCTCCATCATACTGCAAGGTACCTACAAGTTAAAATGAAAAACAATGTACACAGCAGACACTTCCTGTCCAACATCTGATGTATCAAACTCTGTTCTTAATGATAAATTTATATCGTGCCAGTATTATGCAATTTTGTACAAAACTTTGGTTGATTAGATCCAATTGTGTACTCCTCAAATAGCAAATCAGAAACATTAAAAGTATGAAACAATGAAGAAATTTATCCCAAAGCATTTGGTAATTGTAGCAATCTTACTGTTATGCTAACAAATCAGCCCGTTAGACTAGGATTGAACTGGGGTTAGGGAGTCCATGTTAGCTTTTAAAAGGTATTTAATCAACTCCCACTTCTCTCCTTAACCTTTACATCATGCTAGCTTTAAGAAATGACAGAGGCTACTCTCACTACCAGTACTGAAATATTTTAAAAGAATAAAATTGAAATCATTTTTATTTTTGTATTTCATCTTTTATGGCTATAAATGAGATAATACAGGTAGAAGATAAATAATAGAATTTACTTACAGATTTTCAACTTAAAAGAAACCAAAAATGCAGTTATTTAAAGGAGGATCAATACATCTCCCATGTAGGCTGAGATATGGGTCAGATCACAAAGCATTGAGACAGGGTAAAGAGTATGGAGCTGGAGAGCAGAACATTTGAGAGAATGGAGTTTGGAATCTGGAAGCAATAACACAAATAATCTTGATCTACGATGTATCCTCATTTGTATGAGCCAGTAACAAGATGAGCCTAAAATGCCTAAGATGGCTGACAAAAAAAATTAACAGAAAAAATCTGCACTATGTCTAGAAACACCTTCCTTGTATTACCTCACTTTTCATACCATTATACCCCAGCCCCTGGCTTCCCCCACCCCCCAAAATCAAAAAATGTTGACGACATCAGGTCAATTACAGAACAGGAACTGATCCTTTTTTGTACACTGGCGTATATAATGTTCTAAGGCAGGAACTGAGTCTAAGTGTGTGGAGAACAAGATCAAGGAGTTTGATAGCCAACCTTTATCCCTCAGGATTATTTTCAGTTAGGCTTGGCTGCTTGAACGGAGAAATACTCCTAGTTCAGAAAGTAATTTAAGGAGAAAGAATTTATGTTGAATTATGTCAGTGCTCGATAATATGTTCTGACTATTTACCATTCAACTCCAGCAGAAAATACCTGATCAGGCACAACAGTTGACAATTAAACTTTTCTTAGCCTGTCTTGAACTGCAAGGGCATAATACATAACAGTATCAAGAAAACCACCGACCAGGCGAGTCTAGACAAGTTTGATGGTCAGGACACCAGAATGTACAATCTGCTATACCTCAAATATGTACAAAATGTAAATTGGTTACTCAGTCCAGGGTCATTATATTTTTGGCTACTTTCAATGTTTGACGACAATTCAAAAATAATGAATGGTCATTTAGTCTTTAGATATAGTTGCTTATTTTACATCAGTTCCAATATATTTCAAAGCGTAGATACTATTTATACAGGATGCCTGTTTCGCCTGGAAATCAGTCAAAGTCTAGTTTCAGTCTTGTCGATCAGCAGAAACAAGTTGAGGTAAACATTCTACAGGTTATGATTATGGCTACATTATCAAGGGTATTGGGTAGTCATGAAAGCGGATTTGAGGTCACAATCAGATCAGCTATGATCTTATAAAATGGTAGGGCACACTTGAGGGTTTGTGTGGCCTACTTATGCTCCTAATTCATGTGTTTATACAGTTTCATGTGTATGGAACAGAATTACATCAATTACCAAGATAAGAACATATAGATTTCACTGTCACTATTTATTAGTCACTCCCATCCCAGGCAATTAGAACTCATTGCTAGCCCAAAGCCCAAACCTGTCTAACACGAGCACACGTCAATTTCCATTTGTAGAGTTTTGATAGCACAACGTTTTGGTAGCTGGAGTGCACCACAAGGATTCAGTTCATTTACCTAGATATGGGACAGAAAATTCAATCAATACCAAAGGAAATTTATGGATCACCAAGAGCTGCTCGTAATGCTGAATCCAAGGAAAATGAAAAAAGATAATATGCTGTAACCCAATTTTAGAAGTATACTTTGATGTAATATTGCAACATTTGCAATTTCTGCCCTTGACCTTTTTAAGGGAGATTACCAATTAGTACCTAACCAAAAGCAGCTTAGGTTGTGGATTCATGCCCACTGAGTAGCAGATTGTGATTTTACAGAACCATTTTACATTGAACCACTGTAACAGAGTCTTAGCCTATCTGTTGGATTGAAGTCCCAGAGTTACACAAAAATTGTTCGAACGCACTATATTGTCTTGTTCTATAAGAATACTCGTATCTGTGGCTACTGTAGATAAACTTCCAATACATAGAAAACAGCCAAACATATCCAAAAAATAATTTCTAGTACAACTGCCACAAGTGTATTACAAGACACTAGTATTCAGTCCACTGATGTACATGTAAAAGCTTATGACAAATTTATAAAGAGAATGTTTTTTCTAACCTGCATTTTATATGCACTTTTATATTTTAAGTGCGGTCAAAGCTATTGTATTTACAATTTAGCTTAAATATAATCCATGTATTACCCATAATGCACAATTTTAATATTTCATAATCAGGCTGACACAATAAAAGGCTATTAATAGAATACCATTAAGTTATGTTAAATTCTTTAATTTCTGAGACTGTTATATCCATACATCTAATATCTTAAACATTTTTCAACAAAATAGGCTTTTAATGGAAACAATGGTTGTTTAAGAGTTGTGGTGATACCCGCTGCTTTAAAATGTGGCTTTGTACAAACATGAATGTCAAAAAAGTCCTGGACACACCAAATAGTTATACATGTAGCTTGCATCCACATTACAGCAAACTAAGGTTAGTGGTCCAAAATACATCAGCCGTGTTCAGCATTTACTAGAGACAGCACAAAGGAAAAGTTGGCTCTGAAAGCAAGATAAACCCCATTGGCAGATGAAGACCAGAAAACAATACTGCACTGATCATTCCATCCTTTGTGTTTAGACTCTAATAAATAGCCCTGAGCTTTAATACTATTGCGAAGGGACAATAATTTAAAGGCCAAACCTGCAGCAAGTGTCTGTGTGATGTGCATATTCACAGCTTTAGCTAAATGTGCCACACTGGTCTCAACAGTACTAATTTCAATAGATAATTCCTGACAACAAAGATTCTACTGTGTAGACAGTGGTTACGCGCAAGATTATTTGTGTTATCATACAACTTTTGTCCAACAAAAACAATTAGTATTGGAATACATTTACAGTATTAAGATTAATTGCTTTTTAATGGGAATTATTCTTTTTCCAGTACTTTGAGATCTACAAGATGCGTCTAGAAAAAAATACTACAGTGGAGAATGAAGTAAGCTTGAATAGAGAGGGGTTAAATTCCAGATTAATTGCTGTAACTTTGTCCTTCTGGGGGCTGAGCGAGTTTTCCATTTTCTTTACACATCATTTGACGCCGAAGTTCCGTCAGAACAGCTTTGATACTATATGAATTCTGCCATTTAGCTAGGACTGATATGCTTTTTGGATCCACCTAGGAAAGATGCAAATATAAATTACACAACTATCTGCTTCTATACTTTTATTGCTTTTTAATTTAAACACAGGTAATTAAGTGAATTAGGCCATTAGCCTACCACTTTAAACAATTAGATTTCCATACATGTACATTATATATACTATATGAGTATCCTGTAAAGCACACACTTGATCTTCCTTATTATGAGCAAGGATATAGGAATTAAAATTTGCCGTTGGCATTCACAGTATACATTAGGGAATAATTATTTTAAAAGGTACTGCACAAAATACATTTAAACCAGAAAAAAATCCTCATTATTCCTGCTCAACTGGTACATGATGCCACACTAATGGTTAAAGGTGCCAATAAAGTAAGATAAAACGACAAAAGCTAAATAGAATGCTTGGAGCAAAATGAGAAATTAAAACATTTTGCTTGCATTAGGCACATTTGCAGCCTAAACATAGAGCATCTGTTTACTCCCAGTCAATGTTCTACTGCTAAGACTGGCTCCATCTTGTGGCATAAACCTAACTCAATTCAAGCCATTTAGGTTAGGTTAGAGGAATTTCAAGAATGGTCAGCTCTAGAAGCAAAACTGATGTATATTGCTATGGAGACATCAAATGAATTACCACGTTGCTACTTGTCTTTACTCATTCAATTAGGTTTAGTGCAACGGTACAATATGTGGATTAGGTAAAAAGCCAATTGCTCAAATATAAAACAAGAAAAAAATGCAGTTTTCACAGACAACTTTTAAAAACTAAATACTCATGCCATTTTTAAAGTAACTATGTGCACACAGACACACACATACTGGAGAAAGAAGTATCCTTCAATACAGGAAGGCATGAATTCCAGATTAATTGCTGTAACTTCATCTTTCTGTGGACATTCATCTCTTCTCAAAGCACTGACTCCATTTTGGGCAATAGTTGTATTGGCATCAGCTGGCTTCATTCTTGAAGTGTAAAATTAGAACTAAACTATGCAAGAGAACAATAATCTGGAATTCTCTCCTCCAAAAGGTTTTTTCATTTTTATTATTGAGATTGATAAGATTTTTGTTAGGCAAGGACATCAAGCGCCATTGTCAAAGATATGTAAATAGAGTTAAGGGTACAAAACACCATGACCTAACAATGTCAGAATACTTCAAGGGGCTGAATAGCCTACACCTATTGTTATGAATGTATCAAATGCTACGTGACATGAAAACAGGCTGAATGGGCCAAATGGCCACCCTTAGTGCTGCAATGACTTATGGAACACAGCCATGCTCTATCTTAAGGTGAGGGTTTGATGGATTGACAATGAATGCAAAACTTTGGTTAATTTTCCTATTTCTAATACATACTATTTACTCCAGTCGTATCACCCTAATGTATTGGTCCTAGCTGAGAAAAGTGAAAACAGTCCAGATCAAGAATAAAATTTGCATACTTTTGGTCTCCTATGGCTTTGCAAGCGACTAAGCCAGTGAATGAGTACTGTACTTAGTTTTATGATGGTTTGCTTATGCTTCATATAGAAAAAAAAATCAATGAAAATGTCTCAACAAAAATTAAGCCATTTGACAAGTGATGGGTCAAATTTTCTAATCACCTCAAAGAAAGCAATCACTGCACCACTGTGGTATTATAACAATGAGACCTCAGAAAAATTAATCAAACCATTGTGATTATTGCGAATAAGCACAGCGATCAATGGTGGCAATTATAAACTTACCGTTCCATTGGAACTATTTACTCCATTCATATTTATTTTTGTTACAAATCTAACATGTGGAGCTACCTCTGGATATCTAGGACCACAGTCTATTTTAAGGCTGTATATTCGGTTTTCATAAATTGTCTGTAAAAAGAAGAGGGGTCATTTAGCAACATTATTTAATAAACCAAACAGATTCAAATATTTCAAAGCAAATTACTACTGCAAACACTGGAAATCTTAAATAAAGACAAATTGCTGGAAATACTCAGCAGGCCTGGCAGCATCTGTGGAGACAGCAGAAGAGTTAATGTTTTGAGTTGAATATGATGTCTTCAGAACCTGAGGGTAAGGCTGTCGAAGGCAAGAGGGGGAGAAAGGACAAAAGGGATGGCCTGGGATAGGGGAGAGGCCTGGAGAGATTAAAATTCAAAGACACACTGGAACAAAAGACAAAACTAGTGGCAATGGTCATAGCAACATGACAAAGCATTTGTCCAGAATGAGTCTAAGTACCAGAACAATGAGCAACTCTGTTTGGCAACAAAAACATTTAAAAAAAAGACTCAAAAACAGCACATGGCAAACAAAAAAAATCAAAATAGAGGCAGAGTCCATTATCTTAAATTGTTGAACTCATTGTTGAGTCCCGAGGGTTGTAAACGGCCTAATCAGAAGTCAGATGCTGTTTCTTGAGCCTGCATTGAGCAACACTGCAGTGGACTCAGCACAGACATTTAAGCCTGAGAGCCAGTTGGTTACTTAAAATGACAAACAACCGAAAGCTTGGGTCACGTTTTCAGATCGAGTGGAGAGGTCCTGCTCAAATTCTCAAATGCTGACAGTAATTAGATCAGGCAACACCTGTGGAAAGAGAGAGAGAGCGTGATTTCAGGTTAATGATCTCTCATCCACTTTTTCAGTCTAATAAAAGATTATCAACCTGAAATATTAACTATTTCTCTCTCTGTAGATGCTTCTTTGATCTGCTGAATATCACCAGTATATTCTTTTTCATTCTTGGATTACTAGGAAATAATTTGATAATTCCTTAGAGCATTGTGTGAGTCACGTATCCATGGTCAAACATCACTCAAATCTCATGCAGAAATGCAAAATTAATCGAAAAAAACTACAGCGTTGCTGACCTTAACCTCGAATGGACTATAACTCAAAGTGAGGAAATGCTGTTTTGATTATGCGACTTCCTTGTCTGGAGTACAAAGTTTAGTTTTGTTTACCAAACCTCTGGAAACATATTCCCCTTGAAGCTGCAAGTGTTTCTTCACCAAGTATCAGGGCTTAGGCAGCAAATTACAGAGACATAATTCAAATACTTCCTTGAGATTAGAAAGTTGAAGGTAATCTAATTGACACTGTTAAAATGGTTAAAACATATGACAGTTCCTCTATATCCAAATGAGTTAGTGGGGTCACGATCTGAAAAGTAGAGTTAAGCCACTTACTAGTGAAACCAGGAAGCACTTTTTCACAAAGAGCAAGTGGAAAACTGGGACTCATTCCTCAAGTGATTGTGTATCCTGGGTCAACTGATGAATAAATTTGTGCACAATAAAAGCATGAAGAGATACGGAATATAAAGACAGATTTATGGTATATGGGAAAATTATTCTATCGGAGTATGTTTTATAAAAGAACCAAATCCTATATTCAAATTCTGCAGCTCTAACATGTCTTTCAAAATAAACAATGGTACTTGAGGTTATATGTAAACCTTGGTAATGTAAGCTTGCACATTTTCCTGTAACTGTGTGAAACTGAACTGAGCTAGTCAAATCTAGTATATAACTGACAAGATATCTGGATTTGTGAGAATTCTCTTACTTAGAAATGTTATAGGTGAGGGCTAATGCCAGATGCTAGGCAGAATGGTATATAATCAGAAGGCATGGCCAAGGGAGTCCTGAATATTTACTCTGGATTTCATAAGGCCTCACGGCAGCAAGGCAAGCATTTGGTAGGGAAACCTCCTCTGATTACCATCATTTGTCCTGCTGTTGCTTTTGAACCTGCACTTCTTTATGCTAAATACCACTTCGCAGAAACTCTAAGGGTGGCAAGGGCACAGAACATATTCTTGGCAGAGGGCTTTCATGTCCATTACCAAGAGTGACTCAGTGGGTATCACGATTCACTAAAATGGTTAAGTCCTGAAGGATACAGCTACCAGGCAATGAGAGAACCATTCAAGCAAAAAACCCACATGACTTCCTCCTCACTAATCCATCGTAGATGCATCAATGCATTCACACTAAGGGTAAATCCACAGTGCTGTGTCTCACTACCATGGCACTAAACAGAATAGATTGAGAACAGATCTTCTGCACATTCCTGATGCGTCTTGTGCCATCAGCAGCAGAAGTGTACGTAACCACAACCTGTAACCCAGAACAAGAAAACAGCCGGAGATATTGAAAGAGACATTTCAAAAAGTTCAGTAAAAAATACATTCCATGAAAAACAAAAATTAAGATACGCATACAGCTAACTTGAGATGGGGAGTGAGACCTAGGGGTGCAGGTCCGTAGTTTCTTGAAAGTGGAGTCACAGATAAACAGGGTGGTAAAGGTGGCATTTGACACACTTGCCTTCATTTGTCAGAGCAGAGTATAGATGTTGGGACGTCATGTTGTACAGAGCATTGTGAGGCCACTTTTAGAATACTGCATCCAATTCTGGTTGCCCTTCTATAGGAAGAATGCTATTAATGTTGAGAGGGTGCAAAAAAAAGATTTAGAAGGATGTTGCCAGGACTGGAGGGTTTGAGTCATAGGGAGAGGCTGAAGAGCCTGTGGCTTTTCACTCTGGAGCATTGGAGTCTGAGGGTTGACCTTAGAGGTTTATAAGGTCATGGGGGACATGGATAGGGTGAATAGTCAAGGTCTTTTTCCTAGGGTAGGGAGTCCAAAACTAGAGGGCATAGGTTTCAGGTGAGAGGGGAAAGATTTAAAAAGGACGTGAGGTGTAACTTTTTTCACACAGAGAGTGGTGCATGCATGGAATGAACTGTCAGGAAGTGGAGGAGGCTGGTACAATTATGACATTTAAAAGGCATCTGAACGGGTATATGAATAGAAAGGGTTTAGAGGGATATGGGCTAAATGTTGGCAAATGGGACTAGGTCAAATTGGAATGTCTGGCCAGCATGGATGATTTGGACTGAAGAGTCTGTTTCCATGTTGTATGACTCTAACTAAGATGTTGATGGATAAGTCAGCCTTTGAAGTCTCAAAAACATCTCCAAAAAAGGTCAACTTATATGCCAAATGTAAACGTGTAATGCCAACATTATTATGTCATCTTTGTTGTTTGTTCATCAAGCAGTCTGCTTTATATGGGCATCTTAAAAACTCTCACATATCTTCACAACACAGTCTGTATTCGTTGACTGATTTCTTGCAGCTAGTAATTGTAAAGGTAAGTCAACATTAATTTGAAAAACTGACTGACTACTAATGCAAGTACAGCATGTTGTGCCTGAACAGTGAACTCAACTTATATGCTATGTATAAGCAAAAACATGATTTTTGAGGCTGAAGAAATTACATCATCTTATACATCACAATCAAAGGTACTAGGGGAAATTAAGGAAAGTATTAATTTAAAAGAGGTGGCTTATAATGCTGCAAAGCATACCAGTAAGCCTGAGGATTAGAGTGTTTCACTTGGACTGGACTGATAGCAATTAACATTCAAATCCAAGTGCCAGGCATGACCGTCTCCAATCAGACAGTCTCCAATGATCTCACGTTTACATTAAATGGCACTGATATTGCTAACTTAGTAAACAGAAGTCTGACTTAACCAGCCACATAAACACCATGGCTACAACAGCAAAGTGCATTAAGTATTAATTCCTTCCAAGACCAAGATCTGTGCTTCACCTACAAGAAGCATTGCAGCAATTTATCAAGGCTTTGTCAAAAGCACCTTCCAAATGCACAACCTCTATCTTACAGAAGAAGAACATCAGCAAGTACACTGAAACACCATATCCTTCAAGTCACACATCATCCTGACTTGAAAATAGATCACTACTCATAGTTGTTTGGAATTACTGAATTTGAAAACAAAAACAGTGTGACACATGGATAAATTAAGAACAGTTAATGTATCTATGGAATTTTTTCCAAGAGTGCATTAAACGCAAGGTTATGCTATTTTTAAATTTCTGAATATACTAATAATACTAAGGTGAGACATGGTGCTATGACTGAATGGGTGTTTATGCAAGAGTAAGCAGACTGATAATAAGTACTAATTTATGCCATGCTTTGACTCTGCACTTGGTTTGAAGTATGGATATTTCTTTCATTTTTTAATTTGATTTGCTCACGCTGCTACATTGCTTTGATAGATGAGCACATCATAAACAGTTTTAAAACATGCTGCACTATAAACACACTTCAGTGTTAGCAGTCTCACAATGCAATTAACACTCCACTAAACACATAATAAATCTCTGTTAACATGGATTCTCTGAAAGCAACTTGTTTGTCCTTGTGCATGGTTTCAATTTTGGTGGGCCTTTGTCCCGAATCAAACAGGAAGAGGAATTTGCTGAGTTTGAACCTCTCTACTCCCAGTTATTCTTCACAAACCACTGTCTAGCAAGGACATTGAATCCTTGAAATCACACTGAACTGATCGAGAGTGCACGTATTGCGGGATTCCAAATGATGATGTCTCCAATCTTCACATGCAATGCAAGGCTTCAAGGCCAACCTGGGCACACATATCAGTACGTGACAACAGGATCTAAACAGTTATCCTTAATAAGTGTCAATGTATCAATAAAATACATGCCATTTTTAATGATGGATCTAAATTTGTATCTTTTGGACGTAACACTCAACATGATTTACTCCAATGTTTAAAAAAAGCTTGCTGGACTTGTGTAACAGCACAAGCTGCTGGGTTACATATACAATAGGTTCTGTCCTCACATCATGAGACGTGGATATGTAACAGTTGTCCAAGATATGCAAAAGTGATGCCCCTTTATGTCCTATCTTATCTATGACTGTTTCTGCACAACATAAACCGGCCAAATTTTTTCTATTCACTTGTGGAACGTGGACATTGCTAGCTGGCCAGTATTTTTATTGCCTGTCCATAGTTGCCCTCGAGAAGGTGGTGGTGAGTTGCCTTCTTCAACTGCTGCAGTCCACATGCCGATGGCTGACCTACAATACCCTCAGGAAGGAAATTCCAGGATTTTGACCCGGCAACAATGAAGGAAATAGGCAAATAGCTACAAACAGTTTTGGGCAGGTTTCCTATGTGCATGTTGAATGATCCTTTCACATTTGCAAAGACCATATAGGACTTTCATATCAATAATGCAACTTTCATATGCTTATGTGACATTGCTAGCCTATTCACCAATGTACTGCAAAAGAAGTCATAGGTATCCGCACTGTAGCACTCTATCATGGTGATTTAGACCTGCCACCATTGTGTGAATCAGTATTCATTGAAGTTATGAACACAACAGCTTGCACATTTGAATCCAGTTTTAACGACAGCATGTACGCACAAACAGATGTTGTTGTCACAGGTTCTCAAGTAGGACCAGCTCTTCTAAACAGCCTTGTTGTGTTCCATGAGAAGCATGGCATGACACCCAATCTCCTACATCTTGTATACTTCCAAAATGAAAATGATACGTTTGCTATAGTTGAATTCACAGCCACATGCAAAAATGCCCATACATACCTTCATGATCCCTATCTTGTGCTTAAGTTTACATTTGAAATGAAGCAGTCAAATGAATATCCTTTCCTTGATGTCCTAGTTAAGTAATCAGCCAAGGTGTTCACTACGCTGTCTACCAACACCTACTTTCATTGGTCAACATACATGTTGTGATTCCTATTGTTACATGCACCATGCGAGGTAAAGCAATGTGGACGTATCCAGCTGAACCCCAATTTCTCACAGGGCAGTTAAGAGTTAATCACATTGCTGTGGGCCTTGAGTCGCATAGTACAGACCATTTAAGGATGTCAAGAGATTTCCTTCCCCAAACAGCATTAGTGAACCGGATGGTTTTTACAAAAATCAGGATTGGCTATATAGTTGCCATGGGCGGGATTCAAACCCATTAGTCTGGGTTTTAGATTACTAGCTCGCTGATGTGTCCACTATGCACACTCCCCACAACTGCAGCAGTTCAAGCTGGTGGCTCACCATACCCTTGTCAAGTATAATTTGGGATGTGCAAGAAACGCTGGCCTTGCCAGCAATGTCCATATTCTGTGAACAAAAAATAATGGAATAAACGTAAAGGTTCACCAAGACTAAACAGAACATCAAAGCAGCCTCAAGGCGCCGAATAGCTTACTTCTGCATCCAAAGGAATTGCAATCAAAACAATGCTTATTCAGTACTCTCAAGTTCTGCATTTCCAAACACTCACCTAAAGCTGTGAAACTATCCCATTAATCCAAAAATACATACATCCTGTAGGATCAAACACTAAATTAGTATCACTGTAATTATGAATTTTCATTTTTAAAACCATACTTACTCTTGCAGGTCCAATAATCATTCCTGTCCACCTTGTAAGTGTCATATCTTCATCGTCTTCAAGTCCCCAACTTACTGTCCCATCACTTGCTCCCTTCTGGCCGTCTTCTAGCTCTTCCAAAAGGCGGAAATTGCGTGGAACTGTTACAGCTGCAACAAATAAAATAAGCTTAAACTACAACTGTAGGGACATCAAATTATTCCCACATGACTGAGTTGTAATACTTTAAAAAATGAGTCACTATACAACAAAAAAAAATCAGATTGTTACTAGGTCAGTGACACATACAATGCTGCGATTCACAATCTAAGCTAGCTCTGGTTGGTGAAGGAGGGAATTAAAATTAGGGAGGCAAATTTAGGTTTAGATAGCAAAAACAGCATATGCAAAAATCATTCAAGTAATTTTCTTGTTCTTTAAAAGAATGTCAGAGAACGGCTTATAAATGTTTCCTAATTATATAGTGCGTACTGAAGTATTAGAGAATTATAACACCTGATAACTTTAATTAACATGAATTGACTTGATCACAAATGAGTAGCACTGGAGAAAAGATTTGAAATTTCAGCATCTGCTTTATCATTGTTACCTTCAACCTGTCTAAATACCAATTACTGACTCAGAATTCACATGTTAAAATATTAAAGGTTGATAGAAATTAGGCAACTTTACAGCTTTTGTTATTTAAATACAATGCTTGTTTTTAAAAAAAAGCTTGTATTTTTTAAAAAAAGGCTGAGAATTATATTGCACTTTTCACAACCACCTGACATCTTACCAAGTGTTTTACAGCCAATTCACTGCTGTAACAGCCAAGTTGTGCACAACAAACTCCCACAAACAGCAATGTGCTAATGGTAAGATAAACTATTTTTATGATATTGTCTGAAGTATCGGCCATTTACACTTAGTTATTTTTGTCAAATTCATTGTTACTGAAGGATAAAAAGAATACATTTAATACATGCTCTGATCTGTCTGTCTCCAAATTTCACATCTGAATTTTGGCAAAAAAAATCTTTTGTCCAACATAATTAACAAGAGTCAATTTTATTTTGTATACTAAAAATTGTCACGGACTCTGATTTTTAGTTAAACTCCATTCAGAAGTGGTAACAGCACACCTGAAAGTTCCCCTCCAAGCTATTCTCAATCCTGATTTGGAACTATATTGCAGTTTCTTCAAAGTCGCTGCATCAAAGTCCTGGAACTCCCTTCCTAAAAGTTCTGTGCTTGTACCCATGCCACATGAATTGCAATGTTCAAAGAAAGGAATTCTGTACCACTTTTTAAAGAGTTATTAGAGCTTGGAAACAACTGGCTGTTATGCTAGTGCCACCAACATTCCCTTAACAAATAAAGAAAGGCAGACCCTACGGAATCTGCTGGCCAGCCTCTAATTTTTTGTATTAGGTAGGCCAGATTTTGCACAGACACATGACTTTGCACATTTAACATTTGTGATGCCAGTCTTTAAATCATTCTAAAACAAAAGCAACAAGAAGCTGAAGGTGCATAAGTTTATCACTGCGAGATTTCCATGCAACAGTGCAATCCTACTCAATTGCAAAACAAATCAAACACGGCAAAACCAGATGAAATGCAGTACAGGTTTGCAAACTCTAAAAATAGAAGTAATTTACTTCCTGTAATTACCTTATCACACTGAACCTACAGGAAGTAACTTACTTTTGGCAAAGTGCAATATTTTCAATAAAACTAATGCAATAGTTGAGAATACTAATTAACATCTTTCAGGTTAAAGTACAAATAATTTTGAAACAAAAATGCAAACATTTTTCTGCCTTCCATCCTGTATGAGTGCATTCTATTAGAATTAAATCAATCATACAACTTTGTTTCATCTACCTTAAAAGGTAGATGGGGTTAAAAGGCGCTGATTAATGATTTGTGCTTTTTAAAATAGAATCAAACAGTTGCTGAAGCACTTATCTTTAGTTAATACAGTTGCTAAGAGGTTGGAGATAAATGGGAAAAGTGAAACATAGTACTGGAGTGATGCAGTAATTAAGAAAAGATCAAAATTAGTTGCTTCCATCCTATTAGACAAACTTTTTGTTTACCTCAATAACTCCTTTAACATCAATATCTTCCCTATATGCCTTAGATGAGTCCTAAAAACAGGGGCTATACAATGTGCATTGTTACTGTTTTGTAGGATCAGCTGGCACATACACATCTATATCAAACCTCTGCAATAAAGACAAAGTAGTACTGTTGCGGAAGATCTGAAATCAAAGCAAATTGTTAACAGAGTTAACGTTGAGGCTGATTTTCAAAACCTATTGGATATGAAACATTAAACTCTGTTTGCCGCACAGTTGCTGTCAGACAAGCTGAGTTTCTCCAGCACTTTGTTTTTAATGCCAAACCTTTGCATCCGAGCGAGACGTTTGTGTTGAAGATGATTGGGGAGGTGGGGGGTGGGGGCAGGTGGCAGGACCCAACAACAGATCGATAAGGAAAGAAGCGTTAAGAAAAATACAGGTAGCAACATTTTGAACAAATTGATGTACAATATTAGGAAGCTGACAGAGAAGTACTGGAACTGGAATATGAAGATGAAAAAACACGATCATTTTTAGCAGAGGATTTATGGAGATGATGGTAGAACTAAGGTGGTTTTTATGGCGAAGGTATGAGAAATATACTCAGTTTACATTTGAGTAGGATGCTATGTTTGAGTATAGTCTGCTACAAACTTAGAATGTGCCAATGACAGAACCAGCTGCAAGGGCAGAGTTTGTGTCAGTCTAAAAATAAGGGCTTCAATATTTGTTATGTCTATATGAAGGAAATGGAAGTTCTTCTAATACTACATGACAGATGTGTAAGTCTGACAACACAGATTTAATGGAGGGAGAGAAATCATAGAGAGGCGAAGAGACTGACATTATTAGTGTACTTGTGGAAACTAATCGGGAACAAGAACAGAAGTTGCTGGAAAAGCTCAGCAGGTGTAGCAGCATGTGAAGAAAAAAATAATCAGAGTTAACGTTTCGGCTCCAGTAAACCTTCCTCAGAACCGGACCCAAAATGTTAACTCTGATTTGTTTCTTCACAGATGCTGCCAGACCCACTGAGCTTTTCCAGCAACTTCTGTTTCTGTTCCCGATTTACAGCATCCGCAGTTCTTTCGGTTTTTATTGTGGAAACAAATCCCTTGCTTCCAGATGATGCCGTTAAGTTGGCAAATGAATAAGGAAGTTGAGGGGTACAAACTTTTGAGGTGGGGGTGGGGCACTCTAAAGACACTGAAAAACACTGAAGGAACAGGCAATATTATTTCCAAGAGAGGATGGTGAGTGGCTTAGAGAGGAATCTGTAGGCAAAGGCATTCCCATGTCGCTGCTCCTCTTGCCCTTCTAGATGCTGCAGGTTGTGTCCAAAAAATGTTGGCGAAGAAGCTCTGGTGAATTTCTGCAGTGCATCTTGTAGATAGCACACACTGCTGCTCTTGAACATTGGTGGCGGAAGGAGTAGACATTTGAAGGTGTGGTGCCAATCAAGTGAGCTGCTTTTCCCTGGATAGTGTCAAGCATATTTTTTTGAGTGTTACTGGAGTTGCATTCAACCAGGCAAGCCGGGAGTATTTTATCACACTCCTAACGTGTCCTGTAAATGGTGGACAGACCTTGGGGAGTCCGGTGGTGAGTTACTCGGTGCAGTATTCCAAACCTCTGGCTTCCTTTTGTATTTAAATAGTGAGTCCAGTTCAGTTTCTGGCTAATGGTAATACCCAGGATATTAACAGCAGGAGGTTTAGTGATGATAATGCCATGTTATCTCATGGGGAGATGGTCAGAATGTCATTTATTGGAAACAGTCATGGCTTGGCATTTTTGTGGCATGAACGTTACTTGCCACTTGTCAACCCAAGTCTAGATACTTTCTAGATCTTGTTGCATTTGGACACGAACCACTTCAATGTCTGAGGGGTCACGAATTGTTCAACAGTGAGCAATCATCAGCAAACATTGAGATAACAAGGTGTAGAGCTGGATGAACACAGCAGTCCAAGCAGCATCATAGGAGCAGGAAGGCTGACGTTTCGGGCCTAGACCCTTCATCAGAAATGGGGGTGCGGCTTGAGGTGGGAGGAGGGGATAGGTGGGAGGAAGAACAGGTTAGGGAGGCGGGGACGAGCTGGGCTGGTTTTGGGGATGCGGTAGGGGGAGGGGAGATTTTGAAGCTTGTGAAATCCACATTGATACCATTGGGCTGCAGGGTTCCCAAGTGGAATATGAGTTGCTGTTCCTGCAACCTTCGGGTGGCATCATTGCGGCACTGCAGGAGGCCCAGGATGGACAGCATCTGCAGTTCCTACTATCTCATTAGCAAACATTGCCACTTCTAACCTTATGATGGAGAGAAAGTCATTAATGAAGTAATTGAAGATGGTTGGGCCTAAGACACTAGTCTGGGGAATCCCTGTAGAGATGTCCTGGAGCTGAGATGACTGACCTCCAGCAACCACAATCTATATCCCAGGTATGACTGCAAACAACAGAAAGTTTTGCTCCTTATTCTCAATCCTTGATGTCACAATTGGTCAAATGCAGCCACTCACACCTCACCTCTGGAATTTAGCTCTTATTTATTTTTGAACCAAGGCTGTAATAAGGTCAGGAGTTGAGTGACTTGACAGAACCCAACCTGAATAGTCAGCATGTTATAACTGAGAAGGAACTGCTCGAAAGTAATTCTGATGACATCTTCCATCACATTTCTGATGATTGAGAGTAGACTGATGGGTCAACAACTTCTGTTTCAACTCCTCTCATTTTCTTCAGGTAATAGGGTTTACCATGGGTACCCGCATGGGCCCTAGTTATGCCTGTCTCTTTGTGGGGTACATGGAACATTCCTTGTTCCAGTCCATTCCGGCCCCCACCCACAACTCTTTCTCCGATACATTGATGAAATCATCAGTGCTGCTTCCCACCCTTGTCTAGAATTGGAAAACTTCATCAATTTCGCCTCCAATTTCCACCCTGCCCTCACTTTCACCTGGTCTATCCCTGACTCCTCCCTTCCCTTCCTCGACATTTCTGTTTCCATTTCTGGGGATAGACTGGCCACTAATATCCATTACAAACCCACTGACTCCCACAGCTACCTGACTATACATCCTCACACCCCACTTCCTATAA